ACAAATGGGGCAATGTCATTCTTTCTGATGGCGGCATAGAATGCCATTGTGTATATATCCATGAGATTCTTATCTCTAGTTAACCATCAGAAAACTGGAAGTGGCGCCTTGGCTCAAGTGGTAGAGTGCTTGCCTTGAGCTGAAGAGCTGAGGGACAGTGCCCAGACCCAGAGTTCAAGTCTCACAACTGACAAAAAAAAACCAAATGTATAATTATAGTGCTATTATTATTTCTATTTTACACGTGGAAGTACTTTCTCTTAAATCCTAGTGACATACAGATTTATAAACAGTCCTAGGTATATATAGATTTGTATCAAGTAGGATTCTAGGACCAAATAAATTTGAGGAAATACTGTATAAAACAAGCACCCAGTATTGTAGAACTTATTAGAACAGAATCTTTATGTATAAATAAAATAAAGTAAGCAGTGTTTTCCAAACTTATTTGACCATAAGTTGATTCTGAGTATTTTATGTTTTTAATCTCAAGACAGAGTTTGAACAATGTCCCCATATAAATGAGTAGAAATAATGGTTATCAAAAGAATTCTAAAATATCTTTTGCTTTTACAAAGAGTAGCAGTAGGATATTTTGCTGATTTCCAGCATCATTAATTCAGATTTTTAGCTAAATGGAGCCTAGAAATTATGCAAATTGTAAAAAAAAAGTGTAGGTTATTTGTGTCTGCGATACAAAGGCACTCACTTTGAACATGCCTCATGTCTTGCTTTCTATAAATTTTTTTGTCAGTCTTGAGACTTGAACTCAGGGCCTGAGCGCTGTCCCTGAGCTTTTATGCTCAAGGCTAGCATTCTACAACTTTGAGCCACAGTGCCATTTCTGGCTTTTTGGTAGTTAATTAGAGTTAAAAGTCTCACAGACTTTCTTGCCTGGGCTGGATTTGAACCACAATCCTCAAATCTCAGCCTCCTGAGTAGCTAGGATTATTAATGTGAGACCGATACCTGGCTGGTTTCTGTGTTTTTAAAGTAGAATATTATAAGCCTATGTTCAGACATTTTCTTGAGTAAAGAAGTGAGATCTTCCAAGCTTTGTTGTCAAGTAGAATTAGCTTTAAATCCTGACTCTACCACCCATCAGACCTAAGACAGGGTTAGCAATATTACTCTTAACTGTGCTTCGCAAAGCATCTCTACAGTGAGGGCTTGCCATGCCCTTGGTACCCTTCTGCCCTTTTAACTACAACCCAAAACACAAATTCATCTGCTCATGTAGGTAAAAGAGCATTTCCCCAGTTTCATATTCATCTTAGTATATCCTGATACAAACCTACCAGTAAATGCTGCTCTGTGACCCATACCTGTAATCCTAGTTGCTTGGGAGACTGAGATAGAGAAGATCATGGTTCAAGGCCAGTATAGGCAGAGAGAGAGAAAGAGAAAGAGAGAGAGAGAGAGAGAGAGCTCTTCTTTGATCATCATCCAAGCTGAATGTTTGTCATCCTAGCTTTGAAAGAATCGTAAATAGGCAGACTGTGGTCCAGGTGCATGCCCGGGCAGGAAGTAAGACCCTATCTCAGAAGTAACCAAAGCCAAAAAGGACACTGCTTGATGGTAGAGTACTGGAGAGAGAGAGAGAGAGAGACAGAGACAGAGACTGAGACAGAGAGCTAAAGGGACAGACCCAGAGAGAACATATCAGACAGACAAGCACCCACATTTCTCCTCTCTAGGCATTTATTTGCCTGCTCACAATATAAAGATATCTGTGTGATGTTTTCTAGCCTACGTAAAGCTTCCAGCACTAACGTAATCACAGCCAGGGATCATGTCTGTGGAGCTAGAGTGTGTGGAAGAAAAAAAGGGAAAAAAGAAAGTCAAAGTGGGTGTTTCTCTCTCCTTGGAATAATCCACCATCAACACCCAGGTGCCAAGGGAAATTGCTGTGTAATGTGTCATGCCCAGGTGAAGGGTATTGTTGTTTAACATTGGATTTTGTGTGATTGTGAGAATGTGAAAGTTTGATGGGCTGTTCTTGATTAAACCAGGGTTCACAAGCATAAAACACAACCAGATTCAGCCAGTGTTGTCCCTTTTGGAGAGCGACCAGAATCTGGCAAGTTGAATAAGGATGCCTTTGTCCAGTTAATGAAAGCCATGGATGATTTAGACAATATCACTAATATGCCAGAAGGCTTGGACCCTTCGACCTGGGAACATTTCTGTGCAACCAGAAGAATAAAAGTAGAAAATGAGTTTAAAGTATGTCACATCATTTTTATTTTCTTCTTAATGTACTAAGGTACTGATGTCAAATATATAGTTATATTCATTGGTGCATTCAGAAAAGCCAGTTATTTAGCTAACCCATTATTTGGCCAGTTATTTAGAGATGCACTTGGTAATGTTAATCATAAAATGGTAAAATAAAACATTAAGATTACTGCTGCTGAAGGCCAAGTACAGGCCTATGCTTATAGATCTGAACTGCCTAAAATGGTCTCCAGGGACATGGCTATTGTCCACTTGAAATGAATGTGGGCAGTCTTAACTAAGATATGGTGTAAGTTGAAAATACACATAGACTTAGAAGACTTAATATGAAGAAAAAAGTGGAAAATGTCTCACTAATATTCTTATATTGCTTATAGTTTGAGTGATAATATTTTTGATATATTGTAATCAGTAACATATATTAGTAGAATTAAGCCCCTCTGCTTCAATTCACTTCTGAGTATAAAATTTAAAATTATGTGAGGCAAGTGTATAAATATGGCACAATGAAACCCACTACTTTGTGCAATTTCAAAGGCTAAAAAATAGGGTAATTATCAACATGGCCTAGATTATATTTCTCTTGAACATCGCTGATACAGATGATTTTATCATGCACAGATTAGAATTACAATTATTTTGCCATAGCCAACTATATACGTTTGCTTAAACAGAAGGGGGAAAAAGCATGGCACAAGGTCAAAAGGGAGAATGTGTGTAGTTGAGAAGAGAATCCTTCCTCTGGCCTCTTCTTGTTCACTCCTCAGATGCCCTCCCAAAACTCAGTGTCTTTATACACTAGGCTGGCATGCTTTTTGTTCAGAGATTAGCATGCTTTTGTTCAAGTATCTCTGATTCTATCATCTCACCTAAGGTATACTAAGAATTCCTAGTTGCTAATGTCCTTAATTTTCAAAATTTTCACCAAAGGCCACATGTAAATTGAACATAGCTCACAGTACCTATGGACAGGGATTTAAATTTTTCTTAATCTCTTGGGAAAATAAGCTTGTGATAGTTGTGTAAAGAAAACTGCAGACACGTTTTCTCTAGGCAAAGGCTTCTCCATGTTCTGAGATACCTGCTGTTTGCTTTCTTCAGGTAAAGCAGAAGTCAACTGGCTTAACCGAAATGGGAACTTTCCTCCGGAAGAGAGTTGAGGATGATGAAAGTGTTCAACATGAGATTGAGAGAGTATTACGCGAGCTCATCCTGTAATGCCAACCGCTGGGGTGCACTCCTTCCCAGCCTGAGCTGGGCTCCATTAGGTGGTGGGGTCATGAAGGGAGAATGCCTACTGACTTACAGGGTCAAACCTGGCAGACATCTCTGTCTCAATCCTATTGTTGCACTGAAATTTCCTACTTTAAAAAATGCACTCTGAAGCTGGGCACCAGTGGTTCACACCTATAATCCTAGCTACTCGGGAGGCTGAGATCTGAGGATCACAGTTCAAAGCCAGCCTGAGCAGGAAAGTCCAAGAGACTCTTATTTCCATAACCATCAGAAAACCGGAAGTGGCACTGTGGCTCAAGTGGTAGAGTTCTAACCTTGAGCTAAAGAGCACCCAGGACAAGAGTTCCAGCCCCACAACTGACATACATAAACAAACAAATAAAAGCACTCTGGCCAGGCACCTGCAGCTCATGTCTGTAATCCTAGTTATTTATGAGGCTGAGATCTGAGGTTCATGGGTGAAGCTACATGGCAAAGTCCGTAAGACTCTGATCTCTAAATAACCTCCAAAAAAGCCAGAAGTGGAGCTGTGACTCAACTCTCAACTGTTAGAGTGCTAGCCTTGAGAAAAAACAAAGCTCAGAGAGACTGCGTGGCCCCTGAGTTCAAGCCCCAGGACCAACACACACACACACACACACACACACACACACACACACACACACACACACACACACACACACACACACACACACACACACACACAGAGTACTCTGTTTCATAAGACTGTTTTACAATGGAATCTGTCATGGGTTCTATTGCTCTGAATACAATGATGCAAGTATTAGGAAAACAATCATATTTGTTAAATCTGCCTCTTCCACATAAAAATACAAACTGGTCTCTGCCAGTAACTACTTTGGGGCTCAAGCCCTGTTTATTGTATGGGCAACAGGAGATGGCTATAATTTCCAAGTAGACATTTACCAATTACTGGTTTCTCTTCAGGGATTGTGTTGGGTTTTTTTTACTGAATGGTTTGGATATTGTTGTCAAGTCCTGGCTTCAACAAGGCCATTTTGTTTGTGTGTGGCAATCCTGGGACTTGAACTCATGGCCCAGGCACTATACCTGTGCTCTTATGTTCAAGGCTAGCACTTGAACCCCAGCTCCACTTCTGGCTTTTTGGTTGTTAATTAGAAATAAGAGTCTTATGGACTATTCTGACTAGGCTGTCTTTGAGCCACAATCCTCAGACCTTAGTATCCTGAGTAGCTAGAATTACAGACTTGAGCTACCAGCACCTAGCAATAAGGTTGTTTTTATAGCCATATGGATAAATACTGTTTGATGTTCCAAAATTTATCATTCTAAATAATTTTCAGATATACACCATATAGGGGAACATGAATAGATATAGATTTGGTAATTACCAGATAGATTTGTTTTTGTATAACTAAGGTTTGAAATCAGAGCTTTATACTTATTAGGATGGTGCTCTACAACTAGAGCCACACTTCTAATCCTTTTTGCTCTGATTATTTTTGAAAGAGCATCTTGCTCTTTACCTTGGGTTGGCCTGGATTTTAATCCTCCTGTTTATGCTTCCTGCTGTTTGGATGACAGGCACATTCCACCTGACCTCAGCCTCCCAAGTAGCTATGGTTACAGGGATGAGCCACCAGCCCCTAGTCTATATCATAGACTTTCTGTGATATAAATGATTGCCTATTGTATTAAATATTTAATATTATGTTTTCATTCCCGTGATAAGTCACTTTAGTTCAATTAAGTCAGTGATTCCTAACAGTAACTACATATTAGAACTTTCTGAATAACTTTATTAATGTGTGCATTTATACTCGTGCTTATGGGCATTATTTTTTAATATAGTGTCAGAAATCTACAACTAAGGTCAAAACTTCAATAGCTAATACCATTCGATATATTCAATACCTTTTAATACATTCAATAGCTTTCAACAACATCAATACTCCCTGCACCTCCCCCGTTTCCCCTGGGTCCTAGGGCTTGAACTCGGCCTGGGTGCTGTCCATGACCTTTTGTGCTCAAGGCTAGTGCCTACTACCACTTAAGCCACAGTTCTACTTCTGACTTTTTGGGTAGTTTTAGTGGACGTAAGAGTCTTATGATTTTCTTTCCCTGGGCTGGCTTTGAACCACAGTCCTCAGGTCTCAGTCTCCTGAGTACCTAGGATTACAGGTGTGAGTCACCAGCACCTGGCTAACAGGTGATTTTTTAGTTATTGTTAATAACAAACACACTGCAAGTACTTGCTTTAATATCTTTTTCAATTTAGATTACAGGAGGACAAAGTGAGATTCCAGTTGGACTTGACCATCCAAATTCTTCTTAAGCAAGGACAAATAGAATTGGAGAATTTCCAGTTAACTCTGGAGTATTCAGATGCAATTCTCATAAATAAGAGCATAATTGAAGACTTGAATTCTGTGATTCGGGTAATTAGACTTTCTATGATATAAACGATTGCCTGTTGTATTAAATATTTAATATTATGTTTTCATTCCCATGATAACTCACTTTAGTTCAATTAAGTCAGTGATTCCTAACAGTAACTACACATTAGAATCTTCTGAATAACTTTATCAATGTGTGCATTTATACTCATGCTTATGGGCATTTTTTAAAAGCTTTCCAGATAATTCTAAGGTACAGAAAGTTTAAGACCATAGGGTTAAATATTCCCTCTAATTTGGTGTAGTTTTATACATTGTTTATATGGTTTTTCAGTGTACAAGGCTTTTAGCTTATGTAGTGTTTGGTAATGGTATCTCTGAGTATAGTTCTGATTTTAGACATTTGAGTGATTTTAGACATTTTGTTTTGTTTTGTTTTGTTTTTTAGTCTAGCTAAACCTTGCCAATTTGGATGATTTTTTTCAAAGAACTTTTGTCCCTTGCTTCCATTTTCCTTCTGTTTTTTGTTTCATTTGTGTCTTAATCTTACTCTACTGAGTAAGATCCTGAGCTGCTAGGATTACAGGTGTGAGCCACTGGCTTAGAATTCAAAAATATTGCTGGGCACCAGTGGCTCACGCCTGTAATCCTAGATACCGAGGAGGCTGATATCTGAGTATCACGGTTCAAAGCCAGCCATAGCAGAAAAGTCTGTGAGATTCTTATCTCCAATTAATCACTCAGAAAACTGGAAGTGGTGGTGTGTTTCAAGCGGCAGAGCACTCACCTTGAGCTAAAGAGTGCAGGGATAGCACCCAAGCCCAGAGTTCAAGCCCCATGACCAACAAAAAGAAAAAAAAATCAGAAATATTTTTATAAAATTATTTTAGATTAATAAGAGTGAAACCACTTTATGAAATCAAGGTATTTATGAGAGAATAGATAATTAAAGAATTAATAAACTAAAGAATGAATATATAAATGTATTAATGAGAATTCCATCAGTTAACATTTTGTAATTTTTACAAAATGTAGCTTTTTGAAGTTCATGCTACCAGACTAAACATTACCATACTTCCTATTCTTCCCTATTATTTTCATCTTCTGATCATAACTTGCTGTCTCAACTCTTTGAATTTCCTTCTATCAATAATCCATTGTACTTCAGCCACCTTCTCCCATGATCATTCCTGTGGGTCTTGTCATTAAAAGCTCTAAAACCTAAATTTCAAACATTTCTCTAAAACAATGGTTTTCAACTATGGGAGAGGAGGGATATATTGTCCCAGCAGAGGTCAATATGCTGGGACTTTTGTACTGGTCCTGGGGCTTGAATGTGGAGCTTTTTCTGCTTAGGGCTAGCACTCTACCACTTGAGTCACAGCTCTACTTCCAGATCTTTGGTGGTTAATTGGCAGTAAGGGTCTCATACCTTTCCTGCCCAGGCTGGCTTGGAACCCAATCCCTAAATCTCAGCCAAGTAGCTAGGATTACAGGCATGAGCCATTGATGCTTTCTTGGAAGCAGTATTGAAAAATAAGCAGAGAGGTAACTGTCAGCATCCAGAATATAGAGAGTGGTGGCACTAAGTATCCTCCAAAAGCACAGGTCACCACCTCCTTATCAATAATCTTTGGTCCCGGATGATCCGGGCACTGAGGAAATATTCTGTTTTAGAGCTGCATCTCCTTTCTGCTTTCCTTTCCCTCACTGTTTTTCTAGGCTGTAGTCCACTTCATATTACTGGATTCCACCAAGGAGGTCCTTTTCCAACCCTCCACTGAAACTCCTGTTTTTAAGCAACTGATACAGTACACATCTTCCTCCTTGGGGATCTTTCTAGAACACCATCCCCTTGTTTTCCTTCTACTCTACTGGAAGCTCCTCCTTGGTCTCTTTACTAGTTCCTTTCTCGGCTAGACCTTTTACAGTTGGATTTGGGGTGTGGGCCCAAATTCCCTTGAACCTTGCTTTTGGTATATCTACTTCCTAGGTAGTCTCAAGAAATCTCATGGCTTAGGTAATGAAGTGCAAAACACTAATGTGTTCTTTCTTTTCCAGTCGCTGTTAAAGAGATTATACTATGGTCTGTGTTAGCTCCAATGCTTTATCCATAGCATCAGGTGGGAGAGCAAGGAGTTCATTTTCAAATGCACACAGTGGGTTAGATTAGATGATGGCAAACAGTGTTCCGGCCCAATCCTTGGCATATAGTCAGTTGGCTGTGTCATGTAAGTGCATCTGATAATCCCTCCTATTTAGTGACTATCATGTTTCATAGTGATCAGATTCTGCTGAAGTCATTTTTGTTACTATTTGCCATATTTAAAAAATGGAAATAGTATTATATCTGCTGGCCCACATGTGGTCTTACAATAGCATTCAACTTTAAAAGTTTCATAATTCTGCATACAAAAACCTTAGAAGTATTAGATGTCTTTTTTCAGACTCAAGGACAAAAGAAAGTAGCTAGTATGATGGAAAGTAAAGATGTACACAAAGGGATATATCAGATTGAATGGGAGCATAAGAAAATGGAGATGGAAATGGAAGATCTAAATCAGAAGGCTTGGGATATTCAGATGCTGTTTTTTTCAAGAGATCGTCAAAAGGTAAGTTCTCTCCTCTCCTTTAGTTTTCATTTCATTTATTAATGTGATCTATTCATTTAACCAGGGTTTCTGTAAGAAATCTTCATAATGCAAGCATATTATAAACCAGAAGAATCTCCTAATAAACATATGAATATGTTTGATTTCTCCCTCTCCCACCCGTCCTGGTTTATATTTGCTGCCTTCAGGACTCAGTAATGTATTGCTTACAGTTCTTGAGGATTTCTTAATTGTGACACCCAGTTCTTTTTCCCATTCAATTCTCTGTCACATTTGACTATCTTAGTTACCCGTTCTTTTGACTAGCTTTATCACTCCTCTTTTCCTCCTGGTTTTCTTCCCACATCAAACCTCTCTGCCTCTTTAACTGGAATCCCTTTGCTTGATCATTTAAATGTAGCCACTTCTAAGGTTCTTCCTGAGCTGTAACACCAATGAGCACATCTGAAGGTTTAATCCAAGATCTCTGGATTCCAATTCAATTCCATTCGAATCCAAGATTTCCCTCTTTCCTATGTCTTCTTTCCTAGGCCCAACTTATTTCCTCTTTCTCACTGCCTCCATCCCACTTCAGATCTCCATTTTCAGTGGTGTAGATGGTCATATGGTCTCATAACCTTGTGTTTTCCCCACCTCCTCCTTCCTTTTTCCCTCCCTCCTTTTCCCCAACTCTCTCACTTTATCTTTAATTCCCAAATTCATTTATTTTTATATTGGTTGGTAATTTGCTGTCAGATTTTTCTTCCTAATTGACTAATTGCATGAGTACCCTGTTTAAACTTTTTTTTTTTTTGGCCAGTCCTGGGGCTTGAACTCAGAGGCTTGCTTGACTCAAGGCGTAGGTTCTGTCCCTAAGCCTTGTTATGCTCAAAGGTAGGGGTCTACCACTTGAGCCACAGTGCCACTTCTGGCTTTTTCTTAGTAGTTTATTGAAGATAAGTCTCATGGACTTTCCTGTCCTGGCTAGGTTTGAACCATGATCCTCAGACCTCAGCCTCCTGAGTAGCTAAGATTACAAGCATGAGCCACTGGCACCCAGCCCTTTTCAACATTTTAATTCTTATGAGCTTTCAGGTCCTTAGTTGGGTGGTATCTTCCAACTTAACTTTGTGTCAAGAAAAGGAATATTTGTGTTCTTATTCATTGTCAGTGTTCCCAAAGCAAGTGGATTAGAATTTGTTCATAGTTCTGATTCCCTTTTCTTTTTTCACACCCTAAACCTGTTTGTCAAGATTTGGTTTAAATATTAAACAGCCCCTCTCCACAAAGCCTTTCTTTGATTTCCTAAGCCTAAAGACATCGCACCCCATCACAAACTACCTTTGTATTTGCCAACACTTGGTGTATCTAACTTCTATCACTTCTTTTTCTTCAAGTCTAGCTCATGTTATCGATCCTTCTATCTCAGTTTAGAACATTGTAAGTGTGAGACTTAAGTGAAACTTCATAAAGTTAAATAAATGAAGAAAACAGACTTTAGGAATTTGTAGTAATTAATATATAGTACATTGATGGCTAAATACAAGTAACCATTATAGGACAAAAATCAAATGAATCTTAGGTATTTGTTATGAAAAACAATTTTCAAAACCAAAACAATGAAGTTACCAATCGAAAGAGAGAAAAATATCCTTATATATGTTCTCATTTTTTTTCTCCTAAAGTACCTAAATGAACCAAACTATGAGAGTCTGATTGCTCTTCAGATTGGAATAATGGAGCAAACAATCCAGGTTCTAGATAAGGTCAGTCTCAAAAAAATATGTATCATTATAATCCCAACAGTTGTGAATCATTCAGTGTTTCAACCATGAACTCTGATCCCCCAAAAAACTTTTATTAGAGGTCTCTCAATTTTGTCTTTGTGTAACCCTAACTAATGTAGTAAATACTACACTTAACCTCTGGGAAGCCAGGCTCTGGTATCTCAGAGGCTGAGATTTGAGGATTGAGGCTCAAAGCTAGCCTAGGTAGATAAAGCCCCAGACTCTTAAGAGCAGAGAAGTAGAGACATGGCTCAAGTGCCAGCTGTGAGCAAAAAAAGCAGAAGTTAGGCACAAAGGCCTAACTTCAAGTCCCAGACCTCAGTACCAGTGGATATTCATATTAATGTAATAAAACTGTTGATCTTTCCTTGGCATTGTATGTGTCTTATCCTAACTGAAAAACAAATGCTCAATTTGATTATATAGCATATATAAGATTTAAACAAAGTAACCACAAGGCTTTTTAGATATTTAATATAATTTTTAGCTTCTTTTGTTTGTAGTATTAAAATACAATCCTTCAACAAACTATGGACAGAGCACATGGCAGACAGACTCTAGAGATAGGATGTGATGTTGGTGACGATAATGTACTTAAAATATAATAACATCTATATAAAGTAACTTAAACTTGTTTCAAAATTATTTTTCTCGGGGTTTTGTGGGAAACAAATTTCAGACCCACAAAAAGAATGTTGAGCACTGCAAAAAGCTACTCAGAAAACTCGGAAGAGTCAGCAATCAAAAAGATACAGCCAATTATCATCTAAGCTGCAATCTACAGAATGAGCTGGTAGCTGTCTCTGAAAGAAAAGAAATCTGTGACTCAATAGGTAAGCTTTTCCTTTCATCAACCATAGGTTTCTCAAAGGAATCTGTTCTCTTGAAATTGGTACAATAGTTAATATAGCGAATAGTATTTCTTCCACACAATTGATTGTGGGTGTTTCTTCTGTATTTGAAAGCACGACAATAAATCAACCAATTCTTTTCTTCTTCATTTCTGGGGTAGGGACTATGCTGACTTGTGAAAAGATTGCCAAAGAACAATTTGAAAGCAGGCTACAACAACAGAAGCTGACAAGCATTTCCAAACAGCAAGCTGAACAGATTTCAGTACTGCAAGCGGAAGTTGAAAGACTAAGGATGAGAACATTTCCTGCTCTTGTTCAATTGTAAAACCCCAGCAGAAAACACAAGGCCAAAACAATCCTTTGGAAAAATCCTTTGGGTTAAAATGATTTCTTTTTTGTTTATTTGAATCAGGAAATCTAAGTAATCACCTCTGTTGCAGGTTTTTAAGAGCAAATCGTTAAGTTTTAGCCTTAATCAACAAATTAGTATCCTGCATAAATGTGTATGCATAAATGTGTAAAGCACCAGGAATTGTTTTTATTCAGTAAAGAACAAGATTTTCAACCCATTAGAAAATATTCTTTATTTGCTTGATACTAGAATTTTTAACATTAATCTCTATCAATTTTAACAAAGTAAATTATTTCAGTGCTTTAAATCATTTGTAAATTATGACATATTTTGAAAACACAATCAGTTCTTATTCTAACAGAGCTCAATTTTGTGTCCTAATCAAGTGTTTAGGAAACACAAAAAAGTGCCTTCCAGTTCTAAAAAAGTTTATTGTTCTACTCATATACAGGATGTTAATTACAATAAGGAAATCTCTTTGCCCTTCCACAGCCTGCAGACTGCATTACCAGGGGTATTGTTGGGATTACTGACGACAATCTCTAAGTGATATTGATGCGTCACTGTTTTGCAATTTGTAAACATTAATATGTCCATTATACACTGGTGCAGGTAAAACAAGAGAGCTATTATAAAATCTTCCATTTAGGAAAAGCTCTGTGGATTTTAACAGATCATCCATATAGTGATATGGTGAATGGGAGTGAAGGTTAATGACAGGACCAACATCATTTTGTTGACCAACCCTCTCCCCACCCCACCCTAGTACTAGAACGATTCCTGAAATAACTTGGTTAATTCAGCTGAGAAGTGACCATTGGTAACATTTCCTATGCTATTTCTGAGACAGGAATTGTGGGGAGCAGAAAGACAGACCCAGACCCAAGATTAGGGGTACAAGGGTTTCAAATACTTAAAACATAGGACTGGTTGCTAGTTTTCTCTCCTCTAAGTCAATCAGGGATATACTAGACTTCATCTTTTTCTGTTAATACACATGCCATGTCACCAGTTGACTGCCTTGATACTCCTGTTTGCTAAGAGCATACCACAGATTTCACTGGATAATGTGGATTCCCAGGTCTTAACAAACCAAGAAGCCCATGTCAGAAAATACTATACAAACATATCCACACACACATATGTATACATAGTATATCCTGGAGGATTAAAAAAAAAACCTGTGAATTAAGCATCTAAAAATTCTTCTTCACTTCTGTTATAATGTAGCAATTTATCATCTAACCCATAGTAGTCAATCAATTGAGTAAGGCTTAGTTTCTTGTTCTCTTCAGACATAGCTGACTGCAGTTCATAAAGTAACAGCTGGCTACAGTTTCTCCACTTCTTTATCAACAACTGTAACTGAGACAGATCATTCTGAAACAGAAAAGTTGAAAAAACAAACCATAAGTGTATGTCAGTAAGGAGATAGTCATACTATTTTAACTTATACCATCAAAGCTACTAAATCAGATGATGAGTAGAACTTCTTCCTAGGAAAAAAACTGGATGAATAGAAGAATGTCACTCAACTTCAGTTCCGTGGCTATTGTTTGGTCGCAAATCTGGGCCAGTGTTGCCCTCAGGGAAAAATCACATCATTAAGGTAAACTACGTGAAAATCCAGTTTTTATACTACACTGTATTTTCAAAAGATGACACTATGCTCTACCTCCTACTCAGTTCTGCCATGAACCCAAAACTGCACGTAAAAATATTTGTTGGTTTTCAACATTTGTTGTCTTATAGTGATATTTAGAAAAATCCTAAAGGTTCAAGACAGTAAATGAAAAACTCTTCTTCTCCCTCTCTGGGACAATGGACTATTATTACATGGGCATGTACTATTAATAGAGGTTATCACAACCATCCAGGTTCTATGTAATTCAACCAGTGTAGCCTGAAATCTAAAATCTAATACATAATTGTTGTTTCCTCAAACAAAATGCTTGAGACATTTTAATTATTGGGAGGAAAAAGAGACCCTTACTAAAAATACTTCCTATACATTGTGATCTTTTTAAGTTTTATTCATTTGTTTCCACTGTACATACATCTAACATTTAATACTCTTAAACTGTACTACAGGTTACAAACCAGAGAGAAAAGCTTCATTTGCATAGAACTTTATTTTGTAAAAAAGCTTTATCTTGGGTTGACAGGCCTTTTCTTAATTCTACATGTATGACTTATATTTCAGTTAAAGCTGCTGGAAGCTAGGTTTCTGAATATTTGGCTTATTTGTTATGCTAAATTTATGTTCTATTTCTGAAATTAATCTCTTGTAATTTGTATAAAACTATGCAACAGTTCTCAAATTCTTCTCACCTTTGATCGATACATTTTGACTAGTTTTAATCTCCGGAGAAGTTCTTCTTTCTCCTGAATCTGCTTCACCAATTGTGCTTTTTCTTCCTTTAATCCTTCTTTAGGATTCTCATCCACAAAATCATTTTGGAGAGCAGTGTATGACCCAGTATCAAATAACTTAGATTCACAAGCATGGATATTCTTGAAGTTATTTTCCAAAAACTTATTTTCTTCACACTCACTGTCTATGTGCTTAAAAGAGTTTCCACCTGCTGAAGATGCTTGTTTTTCTAAAACAGCCTCATCATTTTCTTCATTCTCTACTTTAAGACGTTTCACCACACTGCAATAGGAACTAAATGAAGATCTTGTTTTCCTTAATCTTTCTCTAAGTCTTGCACTCATAGGCTGAAAATGGAACATAACATTAAAATTGCCAATCAAAAACAACACTTGATGTTAATAAATGCCTAATATTTATTTCTACATTTCTATAGCAAGTATTACTAGATGGCTTCCTGTTTTCATATATCTTAAGTACCACAACATTGATTAATCAAGATGCATTATACTCAAAAAAATTGTTAGGTTTAACGGAAAACCCCTTTGAACAACTACTTAAATTTTAAATGAATAAAAAAGCATCATAAAATGTCCAAGGCCGGGCACTGGTGGCTCACGCCTGTAATCCTAGCTATTCAAGAGGCTGAGATCTGAGGATAGTGGTTCAAAGCCAGCCCAGGGAAGGGAAGTCCATGAGACTCTTATCTCCAATAAACCACTAACCAGAAGTGGCCCTGTGGCTCAAGTGGTAGAGCGTTCGCCTTGAGCTGAAGAGCACAAGCCGAGTTCAAGTCCCATAACCGACACACACACAAAGTTACGTCCGGATATTCATTCTTTTTAACTCCATTTTACTTTTGCAGGGTTAACACGCTTCTGAAAGTGCTGAGACATTTATCCCAATAACATTTGTTTGGCGCTCTCAAGGACAATATTTACAAAATTAAAACCTACATTTGGAGTATCCTATAAGAACCTGATGTGAAACTAAATGAAATTACTGGTTCAAGATGTCATTCTGGCAGGGAGAACGTTAGGCTACGAATTCTTCAATCTACTTAAAAGCACCCCTGCCAGCATACTCTGAAACACAGATCCGGTAGAAGCAACAGATGTTCCTACTTGTTTTCGTAAACTGTTTGTATGGGGAGATGGTGGGATCCCACGGGTCTGAGGAGTGGTAGGTAAAACCACGGCGGAGTCTGAAGGGCTCTCCATCTTCAAAGAGAAGTCTTGGTGTATGTCTAAATAAAAAAAAACCGCAATTATAAAATGAACTACAAAATGGAAATTAACCATTCTTGCATCCAAACGTCCTGCTGACATCAGAGAAGCTTCGTTAGCGTCCAGAAGTACCCTGGCTAAGCCAGGCGGCCGGTGCGGGGCCCCGTCCGCGCTCCGCGGGCTTTACCGTCCCACACGGGCACCACCGAGAGGTCTGCACGCTGTTTCCAGATTAACCAGCTTGTAAAAAAACACCTCAAACCGCCTTCGGCTCGGAGCTTGGGAAGAGAGAACGGTTTCAGCCAAGCGTTCCGTGAGAAGCGCCCGTAATTCAGAGCAATCCCAAGCAGTGAGAGGACGTCCCGACCACGGATGCGGCCCGCAGAGCTCCAGGCCCGGGTTGGCTCCAGCTTCCCCCATCCCACTCCACAACCAACCCGCGAAGCCCCAGCTCAATACCTCCCTCCGCCAGCCCCACAGCATACAAAAAGCGCGCGCTAGGGCGACCGGACCCACATGAGGGCGGAGCCGCGAGGGGGCGGGACTGCGCGGGAGGCGGGACTGCGAGGGGGCGGGGCCTCGCGGGAAGCGGAGAGACGCTCGGATTGGTTCGGTTCGGCTCCGCGTCCAAGAGAGAGACGAGACTGCGCGCGCGCACGCCCTCCCGCCTCCGCCAAGCGGGCGGGGTCAGAGCGGAACCACGCGGGGGAGACAGTGGAAGCGAATGATTGGTCAGATCGACGCGCGCACGGGCGCGCGCGACTCTATCCCACCCTCCCCTAGAACCTGACCGGACTGCGCGCCAGGCCGCAAAACCTCAGTTTGGAAAGAGCGGGAACTGAGCTTCCTGAGGGGGGCGCGCCTTCCGCTCGCGGCTTTCCCTTCCTTTCTTTCTTGGTCTACCGCCTCCTCTTCCGGTTTCCGAGTTGTGCGTCAGTGGCGTGCGCCTGAGGAAGGTCCTGCCCCTTCCTCCCGGCTGCTGTCAGTCAGCTCTCCGCTCTTCCCACAGCCAGGGCCCCGGCCGCACGGCGGGTTGGCGAGTGCGGTGTAACGCCTGTAAGCTCTCCCGAGGCAGAGACCGCAAGCGAGCAGCCTGCTGGGAACCAAAGACGTTGGGAATCCGCCCAAGGATCCGCACACATCTGGCCTTCTTTGCGCCCGCACCCCTGTTGGGCCCCATCCCTGCCTTGCCGACTCTCCATCCCGAAGTTCAGGCCCCTTGGCTGGACTTGGCGCGCTCCGGTTACGCCTGAGGCGGGAGGGGCCGGGGATGCGGAGCTCAGCGCTCACTGCTGGAATTGAGATGTCTGGAGCCGCTCGGCCCCGGCCTGAAGCCGCCGCTTCCGGTGTTGTGCTCTGTTGCTAGGCAACAGCAAAGTAAACCAATTTAGGTGGGGACGAGGGCGAGGCAATTGAGTGAAGTCACTTAGAAGTTGGGCATTTTCGGGGGCCTGTGTTTTCCGTCCTCTTATTGAATGGCCATTTTTAAGCATTGACATGGTCTCTACTAACATCTGCAAAAGTCACAGAAGTAGCCAGAAAGAAGGAAGTTGAGTCCATTCAGTCAGGTAGAAGTACAGAACCTGAAGACAT